TTGTTAAGTTCAGCTCCACTCAGACATGGTCAGCGGTACATTTCCTGGAGCTGACGGCCTCTGCAGGCCCCCTCCTGGCCCCACACATTTAGCACTAGAGTGAGGCGGCAACCCTCAGGGTCTGTTGGGTGGAGTCTTCTGCCCCTGTCCCCTGCGTTCTCCTTCCTCTGGGACGTAACAGGTCAATAAATCCACTGTAGGAAGGTACCAGGGTCAGACGGTAGATCAAATATTAGTAGGCCCATTTCTTTTCTACGTTTTAAACTTCAAGACCCAACAGCTGTCTCTCTTTCTTACTTCTGGATAGAAATACATGTGCTTTACGTTCTAGCAGCTCCTTTCCATGTTCTGTGCACTTGAAGGTGGATCTGACTCCTGGGTCAGTGGAGGCTTGGGGTGGGTTTTGTTTAAGGACCTCATTGCCGGCATGTGACAGGGTCAGAGTGAAGGCAGGGCCTTGCCCTCCAGGGTCATCTCCCTGCCCTAACAGGCTGGGTGAGTGGAGGTGCTACAGGGTGATCTGTGCCTTCCTCCCAGCCCTCCATGCTGTGCAGGGTCATTGGTTCCCGGAGACCCAGGGTGTGTGTGTTGTGTGTGTAGGGGGCACCTTATGTCTGTTCTGTGCTCCCTATGGGCCTATGCTGGATGGTCCTTGGCCCCTAAGCCCCTCTCCTCTTCCCCCCTCACCCCATTCCTCTCTCTTGACAGATATGGTCAGGTCTCTCAGACACAGTGCGATCACCACAACCCTCTCTAGACCAAGGACTTGGCGCTTGGCTTCGGGATCTCCTTTGCTGATTCTTACACTTCATTGGCGTTAGATGTGCACAGAAACTGTGTTTACAATCAGACTGGTTGGGGTCTTGGCACCTGCAGGTCTGCCCTGCTTGGCTTCTCACTCTCCATAGGGGAGGAGAAGTGGGGCTTTGGGGCATTCATGGAGACATTGTTGTCTGACCAGGAGTGGCAATGACCCGAATTGCTGGCCTGTCTTGCCCTGGAGCTGGCCAGCACATGTGCCCTCCTGTCTGGATAGCCCTGGGCCCCTGATGATGAGCTCATGTGATGAGCAAGGCCTCCTGCTGGGCCTGGTGGTGTGCATGAGGAAGTGTTGTTTGCGCTTTTGTCTTCCCTCTGGCTCTACTGCTGTGTGCACATGTGCCTTGGCTGGTTCTCTTTCCTATCCCGGTGCCGGATGTGGAGGGCCTGGAAAAGAATGCCAAGGCCTGCACTGTGGTGGGGAGAAAGGGAGCTTCATGGACGAGGTGATATCTCGGAAGACCTTGGAGGAGAGCAGGTAGCCTCTGAGCCATGCTGGCGGGCAGTAGCTGAAGTGGAGGTCCCGTAAGTAATGTCTGAAGAAGACAGAGAGAGCCAGGTGTACCTGCATGGAGCCTAAGATTTTCAAGCTCCAAAAGGAGGCAGAATGTTAAAGATAGCTTGCCAACTCAATCCCAAGATTTCCATCTCTTGGCCACTGAGTCCAATGCTGATCTACGTACCACAGGGAAGGAATTATGCAGAAATAAATTTCCTAAGCAGCTAATCTTGGAATATGGAGATTATTTGGGCAGATGTGTGTGTGTCTGGGGAAGCTGACCTAACCAGGTTAGCTCTTTCCAAGAAGAGTTTTCTCCCCCTGGTAGCTGAATAGGGAATAGAGAAACTTGAGTTAAATGAAAGACTTGATTCAAGAGTGAACTTGGCCAGTGAGAAAAGAAGGACCTCTGCCCTTCAGCTATGGGGCACTGAGTCTGGCCAGCAACCTGGGCATCCCTGGAAGAATATTCTTTGTGTGCTTCAGTGGGTCCATGTGAATCTACCAAATGTCATGGAAGAGCCTAGCCTAGCTGTTACCTTGGCCTTTAGACTCCAGACAGAGCACTCATGCAGGCCAAGAGGCGTGGAGCTGATGGTGTTTTAAGACACTGAGTCTATGTTTGTCTGTTACCAAGACATGTGACTCTTCACGATGACCATACAGGCCAGGGGAATGGTTCTGTGGTGACTTGGACTGCTGGGCAAGGTGGTAGCTGTCTGGGGAGGACCAGCCCCTGAGTCCCCAGGCCTGGCTGTGAGCTGACCCTCCTTCTCATCCTTGGCTCCATTAAGCACTGCAGAGGTGGCCACCAAATTCCATTCATTTCCCTCCAGATGGCTGTCCCTTGGACCCTGACGGAGGCTTTGCCCCTGGGGAAATGAAGCAGGAGACCTGGCTCCAGGGCTGTCTGGGTAGCTCCCTCAAGGCACAACTGTGATTTAAGGGCAAGGTTTTGTCTGCCTCCCAGAGCTGCGTTAGGTCCCTCTACTGCTGCAGACCCAGGAAAGGGATCTCTTTCTCTCTCTTTAAGATCTATTCATTTTTATTGGAAAGGCAGATCTACAGAGAGAAGGAGAGACAGAGAGAAAGATCTTCCATCTGCTGGTTCACTCTCCAAGTGGCCGTGATGGCTAGAGCTGACTGATCTGAAGCCAGGAGTCAGGAACTTCTTCTGGGTCTCCCACACAGGTGCAGGGTGTCCCAAGGCTTTAGGCCATCTTTCTTTCTGCTTTCCTAGGCCACAAGCAGGGAGCTGGATGGGAAATGGAGCAGCTGGGACACAAACGACACTCATATAGAACCTGGTGCTTGAAAGCAGAAGATTAGCTAACTGACCCGTTGTGTTGGGGCCCCCCTCTCTCTTGCATCGCAGTAAAATACCTTTGATACAACACTTTGTGTTAGTGACGTTAGTAGATTCTAGATCCACCTGGAAAGGAAACTCCATGCCGTTTAGGCAGTCACTGCCACCTGCTCCTGCACTGGACCCTCACAGCCACAGCTCTGGGTTGTATTTTTGCAGTGTTTCCTGCTCTGAATATTTAATATCGATGGGATCCTATCACATGTGGCCTTTTCTCAGCTAGCATCCTGATTTTGCATTCTCCAACATTATTGAATGGATTAGCATTCCATTGCTTCTGATGGCTGGGTAACATTCTGCTGTTGAACTTACCACAGGCGCCAGGACCTGCGTTGGGGTTGGGAGGGGACTGGGGGAAAGTCGGGCGGAGGGGGGCAAGCTTGGCATCCTTGTCCTTTTCTCTTCTATGCCTCTTGAGGTCTATCACTCAACAGTCTGCTGTTGGGGACCCAGGGAGACAGCCAGTCTCACCGCGTCCTCTTAGTCTTTGCAACTTGATCCTGAATCCCACCCAACGGCAGCTGGTGTGGCCCAGTCCTGGGAAGACTCTCCTGTTTTAGGGTTCAGGGTGCCCCAGCTGAGTTGAGGACAATCTCTGGGGACAGGACTGAAGTCACAGAGGGAGGAGATGCTGGTGGTGGGGAAGGAGGACATGGCCTCAGGGAGCTGGGATTGCTCAACCACTGAGCTGGGAGGCAGTGGGAATCCAACCTGGCACGGGGCAAGCCGTAGGCCCTGTGCCCAATGAGATGCTCAGATCTCAGCTCGCAGGGCTGTTTCCCAGCAAGACGCAAGCCCACAGTGTTTGTTCTATACTCCGCAGACACCCCTGCTGAGCCAGCCTCGGAAACCTCCTTGGAAGAGGAATTTGCCCCTGGAGTCCCCTCCCCTCTGGCTGCTGGGAGGCAGCTACCACACCACAGGCATGCAAGGAGTCACCTGGGGACAGGGGGGAGTGGACTACAAGCCCAGGGGTCTGCCATGTTGAGCTGGGAAGCCATGGACTTGGAGGGTACAAGCTTTGTGTGGATCTCGTGTTCCGCTGTCCTGGCTGGTGGAATCTATGGCAACCACATGTGGGGCTAACCGTGCTCACCTGTCCACTTGGGGGCTCAGCCAGATTTAGGAGCCAAGTGTGGTCGTGGAGAAAAGCCATGGACTGGAAGTGGGCGGGGGTGGTTTGGGAGAGAGTTTATGGGCTAGAATACTCTGGCTTTGGGTTCTGCAGGCTGAGTTGAGGAGATGTCCAACACCCATTATTCCAGCGAAGGGCATTGGTCAGGGGACTGGCCGGCTTCTGGCATTCTCCGATATAGCTGGCACATTTCTTTTACATATGGGGAAACTGAGTAAGGAGAAGGATTCATCTGGAGGAATAGATGCTGAGAGTAGAGACTAGACAGAGGATGCCTGCCTCCCGACTGAGTTCTTCCTACCTCTGCTCTACCCTCTGACCTGACTACAGCTGCTTTCTTGGTGGGTTTGTAACTGGCACCACAGTTGCTTTGTGAGCTGGAATGGACTGGATGCAAACTGACCACTCTATGAATGGAGCAGCAGGAGCTCAGAGAGGGAAAGCATCTTGTTCTGAGTCACCCAGGCAGATGGCAAATCTGCCCCATCACAGTGTCCGGCCATTGGCGTACTTGGGGAGATCCCTGTGGTCCTGGAGCCACAGCTGTTCTCTTGGGGACGGGCTCTCCTTGCTCTGCCTAGCTCAGAGTCTGCCCATGTGTCTGAGCCTGCAGCTTTGCAAATTTTCACTTTCAGTGAGGTGCATCCTCCAGGACTCTCTGGGCAGCTCTGGCAAAGTGAGGCAGTATCCTGTGCATGCCTCCCTCCCTGGCATTTCTTACCAGGGACTCTGCAGCAAGAGCCAGGGCTTGGGTCAGGCCAGGCAAGCCAGGCATGCATTGATCCATTGTCCTGGGTAGTGGTCTCCAGCCAATGATGGGTGAGACCTGGATAGGAAGCTCCTCCTCCTCGTCCCCTAGGAAGGCGTGGTCCTCCGGCCTCCCTGTCATCCCTATTGACCTGGAGCTGGCTGCCCTCCTCCATGGCCTCCTACCTTGCTCCCTGTCCCTTTGCTGTTTTCCTGGTGCTTCCTAGGACAACCTTCCAAGTCAGAGACCCATCCTTTTTTTTTTTTTTTCTTTTTTAAAGACTTGTTTCTGCATTTGAAAGAGCTGCTCAGAGAGAGGGAGAGGCAGAGAGAAAGAGCATTATCTGCTGGTTCACTTCCCAACTGGCCGCAAAAGCCAGGGTGGCCCTAGACCATGGGCCAGGAGCTGATCTGGGAGGCAGGGATACACACACCTGGGCCATCATCGTGGCGCTCCCAGGCCACGAGTAAGGAGCTGGACAGGAAGTAGAGCAGCCGTGATTCAAACCACAGCCCGTAGGGGATAGTGGCATTGCAGCCAACAGCTTCATGGGCTACTCCCTGATGCTGGCTCCCAGGGACTCATCCTTGTCTCAGAGTCTGCTCCTGGGGAACCCTAGGTGAGGGGTCTGGCTTGCTCAGTAGGGTGAGAGTCTGTACTGACGGTTTCTGGTCTCAATGGATTCTCTACTTTGCAGGTGGAGCTTGACTGCTCCCAGCTGCCTGCGAGCAGATGCGTCTATAACATTGGGACCCCCGGTGTGGGTGTGTATAGGGGTCACTGTAGCTGTTATGGATATGTGAGGGAGGGAGCAGCTTCTCACTGCAGGGTAACATCAACATTTCTGGTGGGTTAGCATTGTGCTTGGGATGCCCCATCCCATATTGGAGGGGCTGGAGTTGTATCCTGGCTCTGTTCCTGATTCCAGCGCCCAAGGAGCAGCAGGTGCAGGCTCAGATACTTGGGTCCCTGCCGCCCACGTGGGAGACCGGGATGGAGCACCTAGGTTTCCGGCTTTGGCTCAGTCCTTCCAGACTTAGCTGTTGTGGGCGTTTGGGGAGTGCATCGGTATATAGAAGATCTCTTTCAAAGAAGTGAAACGAGAAAGCATCAAGGCTAAGCTCTCTAACAAGCCACATGAGGTGTGCCCCCTCCCTTTCCACCTGCAGGTCTGCCCCACCCCGTCTCCTCTGATGTTCTCCTTCCTCCCAGCAGCAGGTGGGGCTCCCTGCCTTGACTGCCCCTCATCACGCTGTCAGTCTCAAGACACAGCTTTGTCCAGAGAGCTCCTCCTTGCCCTCCCCTCCTCTTCCTTGCTGCAACATCTTCTCCCCAGGAAAGATGGCTTCCCTCTCCAGCCAGCGGGGTCCTGCTGTTCCCTCCTCCCTTGGCGCCCTGCATAGCCTGGCAGGCTTCACAGTGAGGAGACTGCAGTTCCAGGCTCGTGGAACTGCTTAAGTAATACTGAGACTTGTGTTTGCATGTACGTTTGTGACCCACAGCAAGGCATCTATTTAGTACGGCCCAGTTCTCCTAACGCATATATAACTGAATATTCACCCTTACTCACAGGCTACACTGATGCTTGCTATTCCGTTGCATTCCGTACTGAAATGAAAATACAAAACCGCTGCCTGTGACTCACTCCCTGGCCTGCAGGCTGGCAGCATGAAAACCGCCGGACACAAGCTGGGCGCCCGCCAGTTAAGAGGAGGCGCCATCTGCCTACTGTGGCCTCAGGGCTGAGCACTGTGCCTGGCCCACGGGAAGCCGTTCAGTCAGTATTTGTTGAATGACTGAGTGTTGCAGACAAACCCGGACAAATACGTGAATGAATTGCCAGCCCCACCCAGACAGGAAAGTGTGGCTTTGATCAGATTGTTCCGTTACTGAGAAAAACCAGCCCACTTCCTGTGGCTTTGATCTGCTGCCTTGGTTCGAAACTGCCTTGCCTCAGCCAACAGTTCTCGAAGCTCATTTCCTGCACTCTGGCTCCTTATCTCTCTTTTCAAACATTCCTCACCTTTCTCTTTCCAGGGAAGTTTGCATGGCCCCCTCCCCAACCCTCCAATGTCTTCCTTTGTTGGCACAGTGTGGGGTTTCCCAAATCCCAACCTCCTTGGGTATACAACCTTCCCAGGTGGGCATCTGGATCATGGCTCTGAGGCTGGTGTGGTCCATATCCTGCTGCTGATGGTCTTTAGGGTGGGATGAAAGATGGGGTTGGAGGGAAGACACTGATGGCTTAACCATGTAAAGGTACAATTCCAGACTGGTGCTGTGAAGAGCAAGTCAAGGCTGCCTGGAGAACGTGCACATGGGAACAGGGGATTGGACACCTAAACACAATGGAGGGACCCAGGCAAAGAGGGAGAAAGAGACTGCAGGTGGAAGAAATAGCAAGTGTAAGGCTCCCGAGGTGGCTACGGCAGGGATCCACTTTAGGAAACTCAGTGCAGTGACTGCAGAATACAGGGTTATGGCAGCCAGGCTAGGGGCCAGTCTTGGTGCAGCAAGTTGGAGATTCGTGTCAAGAGTGGTGGGCAGCAACAGAGTATTAGAAGAATGGGGGTGGCATTGTAGCCGTACTGTGGCTGAGGGATAGGGAGGTGTTGGGGTGAGGAAGCTGGGACCTGGTATCCTTTGAGAGGGAGCAGCTTTGGGGTGGAGGCAGTGGAGGTGCAGGCGCGTGCTTGGCTTTGGCAAATGCTGAACTTAGCAGGCAATTTGTTCCTTCAACGCTTTTAATTTTCTTATGAAAATATTTTTGTTTGAAAGGCAGAGATACAGAATGGGACAGAGATCATTACTGCTTCATTCCCAAATGCCTGCAACAGCCAGCGCTGGGTCAGGATGAAGCCAGCAGCCCAGACAACCCAGGTTTCCCACATGGGTAACAGGGACCCAAGGGACCCAGCCATCACCTACTGTCACCCAGAGTGTGCTTCCATAGGAACCTGGAACAGGCAGAGGTAGTGGGGACTTGATCCCAGACACTCTCTCTGATAAGGAAAGCAAGCATCTCAGGCGGCATCTTAACTGTCCCATCTGATGCCTGCCCCCCATCAGCACTGTCCAACGCCCGCCATGACTCCGTCCCGTGTGGAGTCCCAGGTTTCCCGGGAAGGCGGTGGAAGACAGACAGGCCAGGATGACTGTGCTTAGACCTGTGTGTGGTTCATGAGGGTGCAGCTCTGCAGCACCTGCCAGAAGGAGCTGCCGTGAGAGGCCTTGGTGGTGGTGGTGGTGGTGGGATTCTGTGTGAGCGCCAGGCAGACAGGAACGCAACCTGTCCCCATCTGCCATCCTTCATGGGCCTCTTGGCTCTAGTGGTTTTCTCTGCACCCCACAGGGGGCCCAACTCCCTGGAGTAGGTGGGGCTGAGGACAGGAGAGTGCACCAGGAGGGTCTTTCCCTTCGGGCCTGGAGTGACAGAGCCCACCAGTTCCTCACTCTTCTTGCCCCTGAGTCACCTTTCTTGGGAGTGCGTTTCTCTGTAAACTGCTTACTCATGCTGTCTCCACCTTCCACCTGAGGGCCTTCTGTGCCCTTCCTGGGTGGAGGGGTTGGGGGGTGTCATGCAGGAGCCCAGGGACCTCAGTGAGCAAGCCTGCTTCTCCCTCACCATCCCTGCTCAGGGGGATCTCCCAAGGGCAGAGCTGTGTCTTTGCCTGGGACTTGGGACTCCTATCTGAGCCACATTTTGCTCCCATGAGCCTTGCAGCCAGCAAACCTCCTGGCCCACCCCGTGCTCCCCGTGGCTGCAAGGGAGCCTGCTGGTTGGTGGAGTTTTGGGGGCAGAGGACAGCATGTGGCTCTGTGTCCTGTCTGTGGGTGGTACGAGCAACCCCCAAGACTGTGTCCCCACCAGAACCTACCCTGCCTACTTCACCCTCAGGGCCCCAGGGCCCTCCTTGCTGTGGCTATAGAGGTAGGCTCAGGGTTTATGGGGTTGCTGGAGCCCTGTGAGGTTTATGCGGCAGGACCCTGGTCTGTTTTTCCTGTCTGTCCTGGGCCATCCTCACGGGTCTGCTTTGAAGACCACAGACTTGCACAGGGAGGGTAAGCATTGCACTTTGAGCAATAGGAGGTCAAAAGGACAGTAGGTTGCATGGGCCAACTGCAGGCACTGGAACTGCAAGGTCATCTTGTCCAGCCCAGTGCCTTCCTGCGGAGGGAAGGACTCCAGCTGCCCAGAGCCAGAGAAGATGCTGTTGCTTGCTCTGGCCTTGCTCCATGTTGCTGACCACTCAGTCCCCGGGGAATCAGGACACTTGCTGCCCACACTGCTCTCCCTGCCAGCTCTCTCAGGCTTTGGATGTAGTGTCATGGAATCCTGTGGGGTTTAAAGGCTGTGCAGAGGGGAGAGAAAAGGGCAAGAAGCATTTAATTTTTTTTCTTTCATTTTTTATTTGAAAGTCAAAGTTAGAGAGAGGAGACAAAGAGAGAGAGAGAGATTGAGAGAGAGAGAGAGAAAGTTGTTCCATCCACTGGTTCATTCCCCAAATGGCCCAAAGGCCGGGGCTGGACTGATTGAAAGCCAGGAACTAAGAGCTTCTTCCAGTTCTCCCACAAGGATGCAGGGGCCTAAACACTTGAGCCATCCCGAGCTCATTTCTCAGAAGCATTAGCAGGGAGCTAGATGGGAAGGGGAGCAGCTGGGATTCAAACCGGTGCCCATATAGGGTGCTGGTGCTATAGATGTCAGCGTAACCTCCTGCCTCACTGTTTCCACAACAAGCATTTGTGAGCAGAATCCTGAACCTTCAGTGGGATCATGATAAAACTCCACAGATTACAACCTGTGCGTGATGCAAAAGGACCCCTGGGGATACAGCATTGTGTGTGGTTTGAGGGGAGATCAGAAGGTACTGGAGCAGCCTGTGGCTGAAATAACTCACGTGCTGCCTTCCAGAAGGGCTGAGGGTAAAGCCCTTGGAGTGGCTTCTAGACTGGGCAGAACAGAACAACAGTCCGCTCACTCCCGCCTTGCGTGTGGGCGGGAAAGAGAATGAGCAGAGGGCTCAGAGATTGGAGCATGGGAGGTGAGGAGGTATCCCAGAGAGGGGATCTCAAAGAGGAGCTTTTAAAATTTAATCATTCAATTAAATGAATTACCACTTTCTTTTTAAGAAAAGATTTACTTATTTACTACTTTTATTGGAAAGTCAGATACACAGAGAGGAGAGACAGAGAGGAAGATCTTCTGTCTGCTGGTTCATTCCGCAAGTGGCTGCAGCAGCCAGAACTGAGCCAATCCGAAGCCAGGAGCCAGGAGCCTCTTCCGAGTCTCGCATGCAGGTGCAGGATTCCAAGGCCCTGGGCCGTCCTCTACTGCTTTCCCAGGCCACAAGCAGGGAGCTGGGTGGGAAGTGGAACAAAGATTTAGCCTCTGAGCCATCACACTGGGTCCTTCCTTCCTTTCTCCCTTCCTCCCTTCCTCCC